GACCTACTCTTTTATATTATAATATAAGATAGTTACTTTATAGACTAAAATAATAAAGTAGGATAATAAAATTAACTTAGTTATATAGTTATAGACTTTCTAGCTACTCTATATACCTCCCCCCTTTATTCTACCCTTTAATAATAAAACTCTTTAGGAAGCCTTACTATAAATATAAGAAAGAAGTTCTTCTATTTTATTATAGTTAAGATTAAAAGGAGGCTTTATTATAAATAAGTAGTTTATAAATATAAATAACTTAGGGGTAGCTTTATACTTATAGATCTACCTATTTACTATACTTATAATATCTTTTATAAAATCTAGTACCTATATGTAATTCTACTTTATAGTCTACTAGTTAATCTTTAACTTAGTAATTCTAATACTAATATACTTACTACTTTTCTAATACTTCTTCCCTTTTCCTATCTTATAGCTAAACTCCTTATAGACCTCTTTATTAGTATATAAGCACTCTTTTAAAGTATCCTTATAGTAAATATAGTTTATATAAGGTTTACTAGGTATTAAAATATATTTAAAGTATAGTTTATAGACCTAAATATTAGTTAAATTATCTTTAAGGGAGTAAATATAAGCTTTATAGTAATTATAGGGGATAGTATTATAACTTCTAAAAGCCTAAATAAAGAAGCTATAGGATACTATTAAATAATTAGGATTAAGGACTTTAGTTACTTAAAGCTTATAGGGAGTTATAAAGCTACTTATAATAAATACCTACCTATAGAGGAGGTTAAGAGAAGTACTTAGGTAGCTAATTATATATAATAGGTATTTTATACTTATTATATTTTACTAGAATTATTTTATAACCTGCTTTATAGGTATAGAGGGTATAAATAAGCTAAAGTCTATTTTATAGTATATATTATAGGGCTATAGAAGTTTAAGTTTATACTAGATAAAGCTTATAAGGGACTATAAAAGAACCTATTAGCTAAATAGCTAGAGATAATAAGGATATATAGTAAGAACTTATAATTAAACTTAAGTTATTTAATATAATATAAAGAGGAGAGTTAGACTTTATATTAATTAGTTACTTCTTAGAGTTAGTTAGTAGCTAGAACTTATAATAAGTTAGAAAGTACTACTTTTAAAGCTAGTTAGTATCTTTAACTATAATAAAGAAAAGTACTAAAGACTTATTAGTTAGTAAGAATATAAGCTTTATAGATCTAAAGTGTAATAATTATTTACTTAGGGGATAATATAGATAGGTTATTAATAAAAGAAGGAAATACTACCTTAATAGCTTATAGAGGGGATATAAATAGATAAGTAAATAAGGTAATTAAGGTTACTAATTTAATAGTAATTATATTTACCCTCTTACTTTAAGCTTTAATTCACTTTAGTAACTATTTTTTATTTTATTTTTAATAAAATAAGTAATTATAGCTACCTACTTATATTTATAAATTACTACTATTTTATTTATAACTTTTATTTATAAATTTTAAATAAATAACTATATAACTACTATTTATATCTATAAACTATTATTAAGCGACTATTATACTAATTACTCTTACCTTTTCTATTTTCTAATATACCTTCTATATATTATACTAATATTACTCCCCCCCCCTCTTTTTCCTTATTTTACTATTTATATATTATACTATAACTAATTATATCTATAAAGTATATACTATACCCTTCTTAAGAACTATTATATCTTTACTTTTACCTAACTTAATTAATATAATATCTATCTAGGAAGAAGCTTTTACTAAAAGTTTTATTAAGGCTTATATAGTTAAGTAATTTATTTAATCTAAGTAGACCTTTAGGACCCTAACTTAGTTATACTTCTAAGTTAACTATAAGAGAGATAAGTTACTTAAATATATTAATAGAACTACTACCTAGTTAGAGCTTATATACCTTAATAATACTCCCTCCCCCTTTAATAAAGAACTAGTCTTAATACTTATATAGCTATAACTAGGAGATATTAAGTTATAATAGCACCTCTTTAATAAATAGGGACTAATAATAGTCTACTTAAGATACTTATAGTTAGATTTAAAAATATTTAAAAGTATTATAGGTACTTATAACCTCTAAAGTATTATCCTTACTACTATTATACTAAGTAGTAATAATATTATAAGAGGTTTTATTATAGCTATATATTATATTAGTTAAAGAGTTAAGCTAGCTTTAAGCTTATTTAGAAGCTTCTTATTAATAGACTACTTTATAGTTAAAAGTATATAATAGTACTACTTTATCCTCTTTACTAAACACTTTATAATACTATTTAGTGAAATAGACTAAGTATAAGCTAGAATACTACTAGATATTTTAATAAGATAGATATTTATATATAATAACTACTAAGAAAATAGAGAAGTTAAGAATAGACTTATTATAATTTCTAGAAATATTAAGTACTTCTTTACTAGCTTCTTATTACACTTTTAATAAGCCTTATTTTAATAGCTTACTATTTTAGATATCCTATAAGTTAGCTCTATATAGTATTCTAAGGTAATTATACTTAACTATTTTAGGTATTTTAATAACTTTAGTAACCTTAGTAGTTTAAATAGAATAGTTTAAGATATATTAATAGACTAGGTTTAATATATTATAACTAAATTTAATAAAGTCTTATAGAGTTTTAGGTATTAGAGATTTAGGCTTTAATAGTTTATAAATAAGCTAAAACTGTTATAAGAACTAATTAGTCTACTTACTTTAGAGGCTATTATAAAGTATAAGAGACTATATAATAAGTACTTAAAATATAATAGTAAAGGGAAACTTTTAAACCTACTAAGTGAGGAATAGCTAACTCTATTAGTATTAAATAGTAGGTTTATACTAATAAATAGACCCCCTAAAAATAGCTATATTATTTAGGTCTAAGATATAAAAGAGATAGTTATTACTAAGCTTAGAGTAGTAGGAGGATAAGATATAGTTATCTCCTATATAAGATACTTTTTATAGCAGTTTAAAAGAATAAAGATAGTATATTAATTACTTTACTTTACTAAAAGTACCTCTTTATAAACTTAATTTATTTTTAGAACTACTTAAGGTAGGCTTATATACCTTTATAGCTCTACTAGAGCTTTATAACTTAGGGAAGTTAGATCTTATTAAGCTATAGAGTATTATAATAACTTAAATCTTAGTTTAAAGAGTTCTTTATAGATTTAATTTACTACTAGTTTTAATAATTTTAGAAAATAGGCTAGCTAGGACCTTATTATATTACTTAAAATACTAGTTAATCTATATAATACTTAAGGTATCCTCTATATAAAAGACTTCCTCTAAATTAAATATCTCACTATACTAGCGTGTTTTATTATAAGAGATACCTACTATAAGGTTTAGATTTACCTACTAAATATTATATTATAGGATATTAATTAAGAAGAAGAGGGGGCTATTAATATAAACCTCTTTATAGATAAGTATAAAGATAACTTATAGAGTTTTAATATAGTTATATATTTCTTATAAGTTAAGTAAAGCTACTTTATCTACTTAGTAGTAGATTAAACTAATAGGAAGAGCTATTTTATAAACTTAAATTTTAATTAATAGAGTAATTAGGAGTTTATTAATACTATTAAAGCTTTTATTACTTAGTATAAGCTACTTAAAGCGCCTGAGGACCTTATTACTATCTTATTATAATATACTTAAGTAGTTAATTTAGTATAATAGCTTAATAGTTATAGCTATAGAGTTTACTATATTAATTAGGTTTACTACTTTATTATAGAAGGACTTTTTAATACCTATTTTAGTGATAATATTACTACTAATAAGAGCTTCTATTACTAAAGCTTTTTACTTTTAGTTAGTAGGTATAAGTTATAAATTACTACTAAGTTTTATAAATATAATTTAATTTATAGAAACCTCTTACTCTATCTTATAATATAGATAGTAATAGTTTACTTAAGTAAGATAGCTAAGAAAAGAACTATATAGCTATCTTTAGAGTAACCTCTTAGTCTACCTTTATTAATAAACTTACCTTAAGTACTTATAACACTAGTTTAGCTTTTAGTTACTATTTTATCCCTATTAGAAAGCTTAGTTTCTAGCTTTTTAATCCTAGAGGAGTATAATAAATATAATAAGCTTATATTTATAACTTTTAGTTATAAAAGTTTTATCTTACTATTATATAAGTTTTTAGTTTTTACTTAAAGCTTTATAACTATAGGTAACTATTTTATTTACCCTCTTAAATAGCTTATTTTAAAGCTAGTAGTAGTTAATTAAGTAATATATATTAACTAATATATTAACCTTTAGGCTTAAATAGAAGCTTATATACTACTTAGAATTTATATTTATAGATTTTTAAAACTAAGAGGATAGTAAGAATAAGTATATTATAGGTTAGGGTTTAAATAGGATACTACTTATATAGGAGAAGTAGAAGAGGTTTAAGATTATAGAAATACTTACTATAGGTTCTATTAGTAAATATAGTACTCTTATATATATATAAATATATAGGGAATTATCTTTTAACTTAGAAAGTTAAGGGGAAAATAATTAGAGATAATTAGAATAGGGTTTAATAAATTTACTAGATTTTTTAGTATTTTTAGTATTTAGAAGTTAGATTACTAACCCTCTTTAAGAGGTGAGAAATTAACTTAGATATTATTATTAATCCTTATAGATTAGAAGTAGAATTCACTTATTTTTAGTAGATTTTTAAGTTTTTAATCTTATTCTTTTTATTTTAGATCTAAAAAGTAGATAAGAAGTCCTTTCCTTTTTCTTTTAAGATTATAAGCCTTAAAACTATAGAGTTATATAGCTATAGTAGCTATATACACCTGAGGGCGTATATACGCTGCTGCATCGCATAGCTCTCAGCCGCTAGGCCTATAACCATTTCACTATTTAAGGGCAGAGACTGTTTGAAGAATTTAGTTCAGTTCGGCAGCACGTCAGACCTATTAGACAACGCCTCAATCTTAATGCTGGGCCAAATACTAATTGTCTATCATCTTTTCACCACTTGCACGTCAGCCTGGGCAATCAATCGACATGCGATCCTATCGGCCAAAAAGTCTTACAGCGACCTCCTTGCCCAGCCTATATTCGATCCAATCTCAATCACGCCGATTCTGTTCGACACAGCTGAGTCGTTGATACGGCGGGAAATACCTGTTATTCAAGTGCCAAAAACCGATCGCTTTATTGTCGACAGGTCGGTGGGTCTATGCTGGTCCTTTCTCCCCCTGTTGCACGAACTATGCGAAGTTAGCGAGAGGATGAAGACACGGTCTAGCCAGGACCTCCTTAAACAGAGTCAAGAACGGCTTTCAGAAGTGGACGACGCTTTTACGGCCGTAGAGCGAGCGATACGGGCATGGGAGCCGTCCGCACCGCCCACACTTTTCGAAGACTTCACTTCAATTGAGGTCGCTGCGATGCTTACACAAGCTCGCGTTTACCGAACCGCAGCTTTACTTCTCATACATCGGCTTAGATATCCACTGGGGGTTGAGGACGCTGTTGCGCGCTGGCATGCCAACATGATCTGCGCAGAGTTGACCGGATTCGTCAACTTAACACCTGAAGATATGAGGGGACTTCCTGTTGGACTTCCTCTTCTGGTGGCGATGCTTGAAACGAGGGAAAGCGCCAGTAGTATAATACGTGGCTTAGGCTTATTCGCCTCACATCCCCAACATCTGGCAGCCCTTGATAATTTCGTTGGTCTTGCTTGGGCAGCGCGGAGAGGTGGCTTCCAGGGTCTCTGGTTTGATCTAGTCCACGTTAGCTTGCAGGTGCCTGTTGTTCCTTGAGTTTGTAATTCCAGTACGAATGCTGTGCACAGTAGTCACATCTTGTATCAGAGAGGTTTGCTGCAATCGATCAATCGCTGGACCCTGGAAGAGATCCCTTCAGTAGGATTGATGTACGATCTGACCAGACCAGTTTTCGGTCAATGCTCCTCCTATCGTTCGCCGTGCATGAACAAGCTCTTGAAGTACGCATGCTGGATGGCTGAGAGGCGATAGAGTTTCACGAAAACATAAAAGCTTCCCGGATGGAACCCGCCTGATACCCCGGTTGCGCTGAAGGGGGTTGGCTTAAACATGTCCCTAGCCACGCACCCTGTCCCTGTGAATTTCGCGGGGGAGTGGAAGCGCCGGAGACATTCTTCCTACTTGGGTCTAGCGTTGTCGATCTCCCCCGTGCCGCCCGGAGATCTTGCTGATTACACCTCATGACCATGTGGCTCTAATTCTAGGAAAGTGGCCAGAATTCAACGGAGAAAGATGAGGAAGGTACTGCTCTGTTCATGGGCATCGTGTATAACTCTGTACAGCGGCCATTCCGCGAGCCCGAGTCCGCTGGTTGGTAATCTAATATCAAGTCTACATTGATTGATTGGAGAAACGAGCAAGTGTGTCGTACAGGGAGTCTACCAGGCTGTCACGTCTCAGAATACGAAAAGAGCAACAAGTTTCCGGGAGCTGGGGCACGGTCGCCCAGTTTTATCGGACGCCATCTGACTTGAACAGATGAATTGTTGCGGGTAAGAGCCACAGCAACAATGAGGTATAAGACCATGAGAGTCCGTCTGCCGAGGAATGGTAGCGTCTGCAAAGATCTTCTACTTATCGAACTTCTCATCACAATGACGGACATCATCAGTTCCACCCTCAAGACGATCAACGGCATTGCGGCTGTTGCTGTTCATCCTCTTGTTCCTGCGTCCCTTCTCACCTTCGTTGCTTATTCACCGCCCGACATGTTGCGGCGATTCCCAAGTCTTAATAGACTTCACCAATTGCTGACCGCAAATTTTGTGGTCCGCTACCGACTCCCATTACAGATTCTTCTGGTTGCAGGAATTGCTAGATACCTAAACAGAGCAGCGAACCGATGGGCCCTGAACAACTGGCGCCTTACCAGTCATCCTGGTTGGAGATGGGCAAATGAGATTGCGGTCGTGACTGGTGGCTGTAACGGAATTGGCAAGGCCATTGTGATAGGTCTCGCTCAGAAGGGAGTTACTGTTGCGGTACTTGATATTCAACCGATGCCCGCAGATCTGCGTGCCAATCAAAAAGTCAAGTACTGGAAGTGCGATATTACCTCGCCAGAAGCCGTATCAGCGAGCGCAACGGAGATCCGGGCCTCTTTGGGTAATCCGTCTATCGTAGTCAACAATGCCGGTGTCGCCTACACTCACTCTGTCATCGAAACCGACCCGGAAGACTTGCGGAGAATATTTGGCGTCAACCTCCTTTCTCTGTGGTCTACAGCCAAGGAGTTTATCCCCGACATGATTATGAAAAACAAGGGCCACATTGTCACCGTGGCAAGCATGGCATCCTACTCAGCTTTGCCCACCGCAGTAGACTACTCCGCAACCAAGGCTGGCGCTTTGGCATTCAGCGAGGGTCTTTCCTGTGAGATCAAGCATGTATACAAAGCATCTGGAATATTGACCACCGTGGTACATCCAATGTGGGTCAAAACGAATATGACTGCGGCCCACGCTGAGAGGGTGGAACAGTCTTATGGGCGTATGATGGAACCAGAAGATGTGGCAAAAAGGGTGACTGGTCAAATCTTTAGTTGTCGAGGTGGACAGCTCATAATTCCAGACCAGTGGTCTTGGGCATCCGGAAACAGAGGTCTGCCGAGTTGGGTCCAAGAAATCATGCGGGATGCGGTGGGAAGAGAGGTTCCAAGACTAGGAGAAGCAAAGTGAATAGCAATGATAGTTTTGCCATGAGATAGCCCTGTAAATTTACTCTTTCCTAGGGTCCAAGGCCATCGACAGATGAATAGAACGAGAGGAAGCTCAAGATCGAGTAGTATTCCATACATACACTGGTCCGTTCTTAAGACATTTCGAAAAAGCCCTTGCTGAGAGTTACCGAAGCAAACTTTCCAACACATCCATACATTCCAATACGAAACAGAAGTCCAGAAGGATCAACTTCACCCGAACGATTCCAAGTGGAAGTTGTTATTGACAAACTTTAGGCCGCGGACCAACAGCAACCATTCTGAGCTACAGCAATCAGACCGGGTTCGTCCGCAGTCCTCACACTTGTTAGTCGCTCTCCTAGAAAACTTGGAAAGTGTTTTCATCCCATCCGTAGGCTCTCGTCAATCGGCGAGATAGAATCAAACTCCGGTATCCTTCGATCTGGAAGTGGTGCGGTGCGTGAATCGTCACGGGACGAAGCTGTGGTAAATCTTCCGAGGGGACGAAGGCAACAGATGAACCACCTTTGTTGCGCATGATCGAGAAGCCGAGATCGGCCATAGCCGCCTCAAATGATTTCCAGCTAGTGGATGAGCGAGCTTTCGACTTGCTGAAAAGCGTCCAGAAGAATTCTGCAGTGGAAGATTTGACCTTGAAAGTCATGGACCCCAGCGCGTCTGCTTCCACGGTGACATTTCTCGCAACATGCTTGTCATCTCCTTTGCGTGCATCAGGACTTTTGGGACTGGTTGGGCAGTCGCTTTTCTTCTTCCGGTTCGGTCGCTTGGAGGACTTGTTTGCAGCCGGACAAACTTGCTCGCTGTTGAATAGCTGGTGTTGCATCCGATGTCTTTCATCGGTCTCTGCTAAGCTTGCTGAGTTGCAGGACATTCGATCGATTCCGTACGACCTTTCGGACTTTGCATCACGACGTCGCGTGCTCTCTTCAGCAGAGAGGGGAGAATTGAGTGGCACCGAGGCATTCTTTTGCCGAAATGACACTCTCAACTGCTCGCAATGCGCATCAAGATCGGAGATGGAGTCCCTGAGAACGTCTTCATACAGGCCCCTAATAGTTGTACCCATGCGGTCAGTGACAAGTTCATCAAGCTTGTTGAGGCAGCCTTTGGCCATGCTAGTTCTCAAGAGGACGGCGATTGGGCCACAGTAGTCGCGCAAGTCAATGAACTTGTCCCTTTTCAAACTGTTGAGAAAGTCGATCTCCAGAGTGTGACATTTTGACACAAAGAAACAGCCTTCTGTGCCGGACGGTGGCGGTAGACCCAATAATTCCGAGAGCTTTTTCAAGTAATCACTGACAGAGACGAATTCGTGAAACGCCTTGTTTTCATGATCGCGGGGATTGTACAAGAAAGTTGAAGTCTGTGGCTCTTGCTTCCACAACCCAGCTAGGTAGCCCAACATGTAAATAACATCTGCTGGGTTCTCGGATGAATGAGCAAGGTGAAACAGTAGGTATCGCTGAGAATCGCTGTCGATGATTTCCGGGGGGTCATTTTTGAAGACAATGACAGGGTTTCCGAGCTGATCGAAAGCGTTTGACTTGCGTTGAAAATGACCAATTCCGAAGCCTTGATAGATGAAGCGCTTCAAGACTGCTTGCAAACGTGCCCATTCCAGCATGCAAGAGTTAGAAAGTTCTTGAAGAAGCACAGGCCGACATATGCTCTCGGTGCCAACACGTTTCAGCTCCCTCAAGAGATGACCAATGTATGCCCAGATAGTGGCGCCCTTGACGAGATTCTGAACGACATTGAAGACACAGGCGCTCGAGTACTTGTCAGTACAATGGGGTAATAAGCTTTGGTGTTCATCCAGAATTCCCTCTGGCTGGCTGCAGAACCATCGTTCGACGTCGTGCTTCAGTGTACCCGGCTCTACCAACAGCAGTTCCAAAAGCTTATCGATGTCTTCCTTCTGGTGTCGAGCACCCCTGGAAAAGTCCGCAAGTTCGGAAGACCCTCCTGTGTGGTTCAGTCGGGCGTTCACGCGGACGCAAGGTAGTGGGAGCTTTTCTGCATGCTCGGCTTCAGGCCCAAGGCTGAGGATTTCGGCAGTGATGCTCTTGAGGTCACCTACGAAACATTGCTGTCTTGCCAGAATGAGGTCCCCAAGAAGTGTGGGTACGCAGATGCTTGTTGCTAAGTCGGACGCCCAAAGGGCAAGAGGAAGTTCGTGTTCGGCAACTTCCCGTGAGGTTCCATAATCCTTGCTATCCGGAAAAAACATGAATTTGCCCGGCAGCGGTGATCGTGGGCTTACTCCGCGATTTATCATGTAATGAACGTACATGCGATCGCCAGATTGTCCACCGCAACCCACAAGGACTTGTTGGTGCAAGGAAGTGGTGGCGCGATGGGTGAGATGGTTGATGAGGTGTTCAGTGTCCGTTACCAGGTCGTTGAGATTCCACTCAGGCACGAGCTGATGGATCGATCCAAGAGATACATCTGATGCTCGATTTGGGGTACTTCGGCCGCGTCCAATAGCGAGGAGACACTTCACTCGTTGATTTCTACTCAGAGATTGCCAAGTAGCTTTGATAGTGTCGGAATGTCGGCGCCATCGGTGAGCGAGGTCGGACTGGGTATCTCGTAGATGCTGAGCAAAAAAGGGTCTCGAGTACGCAGAGGAACTCGCCCCGTTACTGAAAGCATACCTGTCTTGCGACATGGCTGAGAAGGTGAAGTTGGATCGTCAAACTTGTGATGGCGAATATGTTGAGGAGCAAGGTGTTTGGTGACGTCTTGCAAACGGAAGGAGGGGCAGATGGAAAAGGATATCTGCGAGAAGATTCTGGACAGCAAAGAGTTTTTTTCGGTTGGTTCTGGCAAACAAACAAAGCTGCACGTGATACACATAGGTAAAGGTGAATGGGACGGGTAGCTGCATAGTGAATTTGGCAGGAGCATGAGTTGATGCTAATCCACTTTGACTCCTTCCCTCAGCAATCCATTGTTTGGGTTAGCTGAACAACTGAAGAGCTGCTACCTGTCCTATGATCGGCCACAGTTATGACTCGCCTCCATAGGTGCCTTGGACGTAAGAAAGACCACCGGATTGTAAAAGCACGTCATGAATCCTCTGACTGGCAAAGCCATCCTAGGAATACCTATCTCTTGGATCCTGGCACTTTTCTTACTTCATAGTAACATTTGAACCTGGAGATGACCGCCGATGAGACTCTAAACGACCATTTGGTTTGAAGATCTTCAACTCAACGTTTCAATTTGTGATGTCAAGATTACCAATATCAAGATATTCAGTGATTTGTTCCTGTTCACGCGCCTCTGAAAAGTTTTGTTGCTTAACTCTCCCAGGCCTCTGCTTTCCCCCTGGCTTGACGCTTCCAGGTCCCAGGCAATGAAACTAGCAAGTGACTATTCTGCCGCTCATACCCGCCAAAAACCCAATGCTGACCTTGTAGGCCATGGAATGGCATTGACCATTGGTTGGGGCCACGATCTCTGCACCCCCGCAGCCCGCATGACGGGCGAGCAACTGGTTGGAAAGCCCCTTGACGAGTTGACAGCTAACATGGACCAGATGTGGCGAAAGCGATGAAGAGTTTTGTTGGGTTCAAGCCTCTGTAAGTCGTACTTTATGGAACAGGGAATTCAGTATACTGGTTGATCATGCACTCCTTTATTGCAGGTTCATGAGGGGCCTACGTCGCCAGCATCATAGATTCTTCACCGAACACGAAGCCGTCCAGTTGCGCCGTTGCTCGGAGTTGTTTTACGGAATCGTGGAATCGCTTGGTCAGTGGATGGCGGATTCGGACGTAAAGAAGACGAGCGGTGCCGGCCCCGGAGACCGGATGCCACTCAGTATTACACGGCGTCCGCATCGCCTGGCAGCATTCGATGTATCAATTTGCCCTGGAACGGCGCTCGTCGTTAATGCGGGGAAAATATGGAGAACCCGCTACTCGGTGAAATCTCGCTATCGGTGCTCACAACCGGGACACCCGACCCCATGCTTAGTACAGGGTACTTCCCTCATCTAAGCATAAGAAAGAGCATTTCAGTTTTTCCCTTCTCCCACTATAAAAGCCCGTGCTCTATTGCCGACGATGACGTAGAAATTATTACGCTAACTCTCCAAAAAACAAACTCTTCTCTAGCCTTTGACAGGCTTGATGCAGCCGAAATCTGATCTTGCGATGGTGCCCTCCGACGAGAACAATCATTTTTCTGCACTGCGTCTTCGGCGGAATAGAAGGGACCCTTACGTCAATCAAGCATGGTAAAGCCTACTTTGCCCTCGCCCACAAATTGAGATTTGTCTAAGTTTTTCTCAAGTATCGAATGCAAACGAAAGAAAATCAAGTGCGACGGTGTCAGCCCCTGTGCATCGTGTACGCGGAAATCAGTTCCATGTCAATATCATCCGCAGCGTCGAGTCTTAGCCACTCTAAAACCCAGTCCAAAGTCAGTTATGAGGCCCCTTCAAGTCAATCATCATGTTCTACATGAGGTTCATCAATCAAGGCCCCCATCCGTTTACCTTTCTACCATAAGGCCAAGATAGCTGACGAGAATGAAGAAACGCGGATTCAGCCAGGACTTCTTATTCTTCCTCTCAACATGAAGGTTCCCTAGATGTTTCAAAACCTGCCCCTCCACAGAATCAATCATCGGGCACGCCTGGCCAACGAACGAGTCCTATTCTGGGTTCTAGATCACACCGCATGACATGTGACGCAAGTAGCCATTCTCCGGAGTTCTGTGGCCCCTCAAGCTCCGAGTTCACCTTTGGATTTGTGAAAGGCAATTTAGAGGCCATGGGAATCCCGCCAGCTATTTTGGACAAGTCAACACCGAAGTCTAACTCTGCCTCGAACATGCCGTCTCAGCTGGCACACTACAGGTCATTCATGAAACTACTGGCCCAAGACCCCCTGTGGGAAATAAGTCGTGAAGATGCGACTGACCACATCAAGCAGTGGTTTTCGGGCCCTGGCTTTCTTTACGCTGTTGTCAGTGAAGAGCAAATGCTCAGGGTTGCCGGTAATGTTTTTAACACTCTGCAGAGTGTTAAAATCCACGAGGCGCGAAGTCAAGGAGCTCTCGTAGAGTGCCTGTTGCATAGCGATACCAACAAACTGAAACTTATCCTGGCCATTTGTCTAAACTTGGAAAGCGGGAGTTCCAACGAGTTAGCTCAGAGACTCTTTCAAAGCGCCACCGAAGCTGGCGAGGGGCTCCTCTGGGGCGCAAATTCAATTAGCAACATACAGTTGCTGGTGCTTATGGTACGTGGTGTTACAACCGAGAGTCAGGAGGAGAGTTCGCTGGTATAATGTCATTGACCAGCGTATTTAAGGCCCTTTACTACTATCACCTCGACGAAGAAGGCGGACCGGTCGTATCATTGGTTTTGCAGCCCGCCTCTGCCTCGAAATGGGCTTGCACCGCCGGGCATCAGTGAACCGCTTGACCAATTCGGAAGAGCAAGCTTCAGGCCTGCAGACGTTTTTGTGTGTGTACATGCTTGAAAGAAGGACGAGCCTGGGGCAAGGAATACCATTCTACATACAGGACAGTTATGTTGACCCTACACTACTTGCGATGGTAAGGCTGACCCCAAGGCTTCAATGTCGCATTTAGTGTGCCGTCGCGACCTGCTGACAGCCCCACAGAATGGTCAAGATCCCACGATGACCGCGCTCCTCGACTGGACCAGACTAGCAGGCAAGACGTGGTACGCCCTGAACAACCAAGTCGAGAAAGAGGGTGAACTCAATATCGACGAAATCGAATACCTCGATTACCGGATAGAGAAGTGGCACCAACTCTTGGATGATGAGCTGAAGCTCAAAACCATCGAACCAGGACAAGAGGTTCGGCAAGTTCAGGCCATACTTTTCCTCCGCAAGAGTCACCTTCACAACTTAGTCTGCCGCCCAGTGCTTCAATCCGCTACGAGAATTGCCCAGTACCAGAGTCACGCTCACAAGGCTGTCTCCGTTGCTAGAGATTCACTGCAGATGCTCTCGAGCCTTAACGAGAATACAACCATCATTAAGCGTAACCCACTTTTCTACAAGCATCTCTTGCTGACCGCCTTTGGCAACCTATTGTTGGCGGTTGTGAATGCTAGCTCCATGTTCTGTGACAAGGTCACAGTTGAGTTTGACATTGCGCTGGAAATGATCAGAACCTTAAGCAACAGATCGCCGCTGCTGCTGGCTCTATGGGAGCGTCTTCAAGGCCTCCAGAAGCTCAGGGCACAGCTATCCGCCTCTTCGGCCACGGCATCGAGTAGGGGTGGGGCGGGTGAACAAGGAGAGGGCGTCGAAAGTCCATCCGATGCCTTTCTGTTCGGGGATACGGGAGACGTCATGTTTTTTGACCAGCTTAATGATTTCTTCGACCTGACACCCGTACCCACAAATTGCGCAGCGAGCAATTGGACCTTTCCGGTTGGCGATTGAGCAAATTCCGGCCCCTTCCGGACCGGAACTAATAGCGGGGTCAAATTGCCCCCGGTCGTTCGTCGGAGTCATACTGAGTAATAGCTAAGCGAAACATCAAAGGGACAGCTCGGTGCACTCGACCCCGCCGCTCATCTATTTGTGGAAGTGAAGTTGAAGTGACCACGATCCGTGCCAGTGTCTTCGCTATTGTTTGTTCAACTTTTCGGCCCTGCATCTTTGGGAACTGTCCCTCTGCGACCGCAATTGCCAACATGAGCTCCTCTTTCCCGCTGAAGGGATTGGCGGGGTACACGTCGAGAACAGTGCCCTTCAAAGTCATCTCGGATGGTACAACCATCAACGCCGACGTCGTGTACCCCGAGACGTCGGATGGCTCTCCCGCTGTCGTGCTGCTGCATTATCACGGCGGTTTCCTCGTATGTAACTGCTGTCGCTCGATCTGCATACGTCAACTTTCTCAGTGCGTGGCTCAATCTACGTCGTACGAAGCTAATATGAGAGGTTTCCCAGATCGTCGGGGATCGATATTCGTTCTTGCCATACTGGCTTGTGCATGCATGTGCCTCTCGTGGATGGGTCTTCGTAACTCCTGATTATCGCTTGATGCCCGAATCAACCGCACACGATGCCGTTCAAGACGCTGCGGATGCCTATAAATGGGTCTGGTCGTCACTTCCTGAAATCTTGGGCCGCCCTGTCGGCTCACTCTCACTCGCTGGGTCAAGCGCGGGAGGGTATTTGGCTCTTAGTACAGCCGTCTCAGCCATTAAGAAGCCTAATGCACTGCTGCTGATTTACGGAATGCTCGATCCGTCTGGGACTCGATACACGACCGCTGGGAAGAACATCTTTGACCGGCCACTAATCGAGACTGGGCCTATCTTGGAAGCATGGCCCATGAGAAAGACTTCGGGCGAAGACAGGAAGCCGGTCTCAGCTTATCCGATTGCAGACCCTGCTACTGATCCCAAATTTGCCCTTGCATCCGCACTGCACATTGACGCCATATTCCCCGACTACATGGCTGGGGTCCCTGGCCTTGCTCGCCAAATTGCTGCCGAAGGAATTACGGCAGTACCTGAACAGCATCGGCAGCTATTCCCGCTTGACTTTGGTAACTTGAGGGGCCTCCCGCCTATCATGCTACTCCATGGTGCGAACGACTCAGCTGTACCGCTTGAGTGTAGCACAAAGGCCGCAGACAAGCTCGAGGAATCTGGAGTGGGCGTTTTTACAGAGTTCCCAGCTAACGCACAGCACGGTTTCGACGCAAGGGCGGGTGACGTCAACATCGAAACTTCAGCTGGGGATGCGGTGATTGCTGTAGAGTCTCTTAGGAAGGCGATTGGCTTCCTCGAACAATATGCAGTCAACTAGCACAGTAAGGCAGTGCAGGGTCTTAACAGGAGCTTTAAGCTGGGACACGCTAGATCAGAATATGGCAATAGGGTTTGAGACACCTGTACAACTTACGTCTTGGAGTTAAATAACCAGCTGTTTCAAAGCCATCTATCTATGGTCCAGAGAATGTCGATGACACACAGATGGCTGAAATCACAAGAACACCGATACAAGAAGTTAATTCTGTGTAGTTTGAAATCCATGCCTCACATGATCTTATGGACATAATGCTACTCTGCTTTACCAATATGTCATTTAGCACAATGATGTTGGTAAAAGTGGTATTGCGTGACCATTTGCACTATTCGCCTATCTTATCGTCTACGAACACGACACAACAATGGACCTTCTTTCTCTGAAACTCCAACGCTAATGGTGGAGATGTCTTGCACAGGTCCTACCATCTCAATGTCATAACATTTGAACGTTGTCGCAACGAGCTTGAGCATGTTTGTCATGGCCATATTGCGTCCAATACACATACGATGGCCTATACTGAATGGGCTCAGGAAACGCCGGAGCTTCTCACCCTCTTGATCGCAAAATCTAGAAAGGTTGAAAACATCGTGGTCCTTACCCCAGATAACAGGGTTATATGAACAACGTGGTTTAGGCTGAAAACACCGGTCTGTTCATCCGTTGTAAGTGAGTACATGTGCAATAGGAGAACGACGAGACCTACGCCTTTGGGAATTACGTGGCCCTCAATCTCGAAGCCTTCCTTGGCAGTCACCTCACGCTCCAGTGGCATGGTGAAAACTGCGTTCATACGAAAGTTTTCATCTACACATGCCATAACGAACGGAAGTTTGGCCTCGAGGTCTTTAATGGGTATGATTGCCGACCCAACGTTTTCAACAACTGAATCGATCTCCTCAACCACTTTGGCATGAACAACCGGGTTTTGAAGGATATGAGAAAAGAGAAGAGTAAGAGTTCCAGACGTTGTATGAGAGCCAGCAACACTGAAGAGAAGTCAGACCGGAAGGGAACAGGATACCGGAACAAGTACAACGACTTACATAAACGCGAATGCCTCTGTTTGTATGTCTAGCTCCGTCAGCTCAGAGCCTGTCTCCGGGTCCCGAGCATTGATCAGACTGGTGATAAGATCCTTTCGAGCAGCACCAGGGTCGGCCATGCGGCTCCTGACACACTCGATGGTGAGGTTCTTAAGATTCTGTCGTGCCGCAAGAAGTCGTTGCACCCAAGGAATCGGAATCCAGGGAGAGACGGCTTCGACGAATGGCATAAAGTTGGGCATCATGCCCATCAAGCAAGCAAGAAAGATGTGATCGTTGATGGGAGGCAGTTTCAAAGTATTCTTTTCGATCTGCGAGTCAAATTGATAGCGGAAGGCAAGATCTCCGAGGACGTCCAGAACAAAGAACGCTATCAACTCTTTAAGATCGAAAATCTGGTGTGTTCGGGAGTACTCGTCGAGATTTTTGCGGAATTTAAGCATGTGGCTGTCAATGTGCAGCTCCATTTCTTTGATCGACTGCAGCGAGAATGAGTGCGCCGTCTGCCGTCGCCGCATCGAGTGAACCTTGGACAGTGAGTATACGGCCTTCAATACTTGTGGTACTTTGCTGACTTCACCTCTTCATTTCGAGTTCCAAACAAATTGGGATTGAAAGAAGTGAAGCCGTCATAAAAAGCAGTCTTGGCTAAGGTTCGACCGGCCTTGTAGATCCTGGGTACAGCAGTCGCCTGTCTGAAAGAGAGCATGTTGGGACCAATCCGGACAACATCACCGTACTTCTCGTGTAATTCGACGAGAGCATCGGGTAGATGCAGACCCCATAGCTCCCGGAGTCTCCAGAAGTTGGTAAGTGACGCGAGAGGTGGACCTGGAAATCTTGCCAAAGAATGAACGTTACGGCAGTAGAATGTATAGAGACCAACGAGAACAACAAGAAAGACTGTAGTCGACGCAAAAGGGTGCGAAGTGGCAATTAGGAATAGCTGGTTGACGTCCATGTTAGCTTCGATTTCTGTACTTTCGGATCATAAGGAATCCAGTCACTAGGTAGATTTACACATACCTTTAGAGGGATAACGAGGCTTAATATACGTCTTGCTCAATTGCCTCAGCAGCATAGATACCCGCAGGTCCTTTCACATTCAAGCGTGGGCTGTCGAAATTCCGAAAATACGTGCTTCATGGGCAATGGGCACAGTAAATTCCGTTTGGGCCAATAGGGTTGCATGACCACCAAGCCGCAACGGAATTTCAAAGTGTGCACTAACAAAAGTTGGGCATTGATTCCGTGTCAGCCAATCAAGTGGCTCTTCCTTCAACGGCGATGACGGAACACTAACGCGCTCGATGGGTGGATCATGGTTCTGTGGACGCTTTTTGGTCGCTTTGAAATCTAGAGCCCACCCTAACATACCAAAGACGACTGACCATAGAAGAGTGTATTGCAAATACTTCAAATAATATGCGCAATGGCTGATACGCTGTGAAGGACCAAGTAAGTCTTGTTGTTATTAAATATATCTATCTGAAATGGCGACGTCTCTGCTGCCGCACACGCCAGACTATGGTCACGCAGGAACAAGCCAAAATGCATCGTCCCGGTCTCTGCATCATCTTGCTGGCCAGGAGATCGGAGATGCGAAAGCGTGGACGTCTGGTCATGATCTCGTCCAGAAGCAGCAAGAGTTAAACACAACAGGTACTAATAAAAATGAAGAACCAACAAGCAACCGCGTCGTCTGTGTTCTTCATGGCGGTTCACTCTGATGCATAAGCGTGATTGCATGCCATAGTTGCTGACCTTGACGTGGCTGCCTTTCCTATACAAGAAAGGAGCTCACAGGTGACTAAGATGGATAGACTCGTGATGAGATAGTTGCTGTGATTTCTATTACTGCGACGTACTCAAAAGGCTGATTGGAATAGTTGATTGAGGACCACTGACTTTGGTTCCATCTATACTTTCTCTTTCTGAGTCCCCATTCTATGATTCAAAATACGCCTCGATCCTGCTCATGCATCTCTCCCTATTGTACCTCTCCGTGAACACTCCTTCTTCCCGGTATATCTGGGCCAGTGGATTATCCGGGGAGGTAAAATGGACATGCTTACGGTCAACGGCAGTCTACGTCGATTGATAACATAATTAGTATGTGAGGGAAGACGGAAATAAACGGTGGCGTCCGTGCAGAGACATCAATATCGACGCACCATTCTGAAGCTCCTGAACTTGTCCTTAGCCATGACGAAGAACTCTTGGAACGTATACGTGGCGGACCTGCGCCACTCTTCTTCGTCTGGCGCGAACTTAGTTGAGAAGGAATCAGCCACATATTCAACAGACAAACAACCAGGTTAAGGAATCAAGCCTCACCGGATCTGATAGTCGGGTAGGTTTCGTGACGGTCTGGAGGTCCATGAGGACGATGGTGCCGCGTTCGGTGTCGACGAGAATGAAGTGGCCATCTCGTCCTTCAGGAACGATAGCGAAGACGAAGACGTGAGAAGGAAGCTCGTGCGGGTAGGCTTCCTCCGGTATCTCAAAAAGTTCCTCGTGAGCGTACTTGTTGGGCAAGCTCAGGACGACCTCCCCGGCGAAGTCGACCTGGGAGGACTTTTCGTAGATGTTGAACGGCTCCCAATCGTCCTCCTTGTCTCGACGGACGTAGGGGATGTGTCTCATCAGGTCTGCTACTGTGTCGTTCTTGCCGAGGAAGAATGAATTGACAAAGTCGGGCGTGATATGCCCCCACCCGCCCGGGGGAGGGTATCTGACCACCTCGGGGGGGAGGTATAGATGGGTCAGGAACTCGTAGTAGGATTTCAGCTCAGAAACGAACTCGTCCCTAGAGTAGGTTGGTTCCTGCGGCTCACCTTCGGCCATGTTGACGGATACGCGTGTGACGGATGTTGTGCGGACGAAGGAAGGGACCAGCACGTCTTGCGAATGTGGAAGTTCGATTTGTACCTTATTATTTACACAGGTGGATTCTTCTTCCCTTCTAACCTTTCCTTCGCAGTTTACCGCCTGGAGGCGCACCTTGTTGACTGCCGTATGACTCTAACGGGGAAATATGTGGAGGGTCACAGTGGATTGAACCCACTTAAGCTTGCTTCCAGATACCCAAGCGAGAAGAGCTGCAGGTGAGGGGCTGTCATTAAGCTGAGGGAGCTTTCGTCCCAGTCCATAATAGTGCACAGCCGCCGGTTCCCTCACCGATCCGAGCAACATTTGCCAGTCCGCTGTCAGTGAGGTCAATCGGACTTCGGTGCCGTCCTCTGCCTGCTGAGGTGTTGATTGCGCTGGACTGTTAGTCAAGGGCTTCAAGGCCAACATCTCCGCCTAATCTCGGTTGAAACTTCCTTGAAGAGTTCCCTGTTGGCTCTGGAGTATTTGACACATCCGAGGAATGGCACATGTCCAGGTCTTGCGTGAGAGCTTGAAATTGCAATCAGGCAACAGCTCGATTCGACCCGCACTACGCATCTCTAGCGCCAACACTGCGCATCTCTAGCGCCAACACGGCTTGGCATCAAGTTCCACCTTACAGGTCGCGTTCCATGCTAAAGAATCCATGCCAGCAGAGCCACAGTTCACAACTCATAGGTAAATTATGGGCAAGCCATGGTTATTCTATCAATTATCCATCTCGGAAGTCGTCCAGAAAGTCAGGTCTCCGTTGACAGACCTATTGGTCCTAAAAGTCGAACCGCTCTGCCCGACCAACACCATGTCATCCTAATTTTTACCCCTGTCGGTATCCTTAGATGATGTTCAGCTTGCTGAATTCAGCTTCAGCTCCAACGTCTCAACCTCTTAGCATAGTCCTTTAGTGTTAGTTTCATTTGGTTCTATTGAACTGACAGCTCACGTTGGCTTCAACCTTTCAGTCGGTGCGGACTATGACAAACAGTATGTAACCTTTTAAACGTCTAGCCGCGAATCCCGCTTCAACTGCTGCGCCGCCGACGAACTTGCGCCCCTAATACCAACCATGTGAAGCTTCCGTTTTGAGTAACTGGCGAACCAAGCTGCTAAGCGAGCAATTGGGAGCACGAGAAGATTGGTCCACAGCTAGGCAAAAACCACCAACAACCGGAGAAAGCGGCGTGATAGAACCAATAAGCTCCAAGTCGACTCTGTTGCCAAGGACCCAGCTCTCGACTTCACGGTCATTGCCCATGATGGACGAGGCATATTCACATCGCCTCACAGGACATACCCCCAAAGTCTTTCAAATTTTTACCAGGCCCAGGAATGTTCGACTTGAAACCCCTGAGCAATACGAGTGTGATGAGTTTCGAGTGGAACGTCAAAATGAAATTTGGCTAGACGTCAGTCAGGACCCGGGCCGCGAATTGCAATACAATGATACGTTCTGATGGTCCGACGGAGGCGAGGTGTAGTCCAGTGAAAGATTATAATGGTAATTCATCTCCGTCTCTGAGATTTAGAAACCACTAAGGCTTCTATACGAAGTTGTTATTCTTTTATCAGCGCTCTGGTTATTATATTGAACATCTACCGTGCATTCTTTTTCGTCTGTGGCTCTCTTATAAGCCGACGCTCTTTTCAATATTGTGTTTCCCGAATCAGTCTATAACACATTCCCTACCTTTCCTCCGTTTCTCTGCGATATCTATAACCCTTAAGAGGATAGACACCTTCCTTTTAGCGCTATTTACCCTGCTAGCTTATAGCAGAGACGTATAAGCAAAAGCGGTCTTTACCTATTTCATAGTATATTTATATATACTGAAATAGTTATAGGCCTAGTAGTTAAGAGCTATATAACGTAGTAGTACGTATACGTCTAAAGGTATATAGAGCTATTATAGCTATATAACTCTATAGTTTTAAAACTTATAATCTTAAAAGAAAAGAGAAAGGACTTATTATCTACTTTATAGATCTAAAATAAAAAGAATAGGATAAAGAACTTAAAAATCTATTAAAAAATAAGTAAATTTTACTTCTAATTTATAAAGATTAATAATAATATTTAAATTAATTTCTTATTTTTTAAAGAAACTTAGTAATTTAATTTCTAAATACTAAAAATATTAAAAAATCTAATAAGTCTATTAAACTTTATTTTAATTATCTCTAATTATTTTCTTTTTAATTTTATAAATTAAAAGATAATTCCCTATATA